GAAAATATATGTACATATATATGTATATATATAATGTTTATATATATATATATATATATATATATATATATATATATATATGTATATGTATTATACTTGTTGGAGTCGACCGTGTAATAATAAGTACAAGTAGTGTATATACGTAGTAATCTGCTTTTTTTTTTCTTTCGCATGCGGAGGTAGTGTTTAATCGAAATTCTCGAATGTTCTCTTAACTTTGCACTTTGTTCTTGCCTCTGTTTCAGAGTCCCCCCTCCCTGGAATCTCTCTTCTTTTTCTCCCTATTTCCTCTCCTTATCCCTGTCTCGATTGCTCATGTACACGCTATGCCAATAATATGTAAGGTAACGTTAGGTGTTATGCAATTAGTGTCATTTAAATCGCAGCATGCAATGCACGGATAAATTTCCTGTATTACGTTAGCCTAGAGACCTATGAGTAAATCGCCGAGACGCGTCTCGGCGTTCTTTTTTTTTCTTTTTTCTTTTTTTTTTTCTTCATTTTCGCTTTTCGGCCTTCAATTTCGTTCAAACGGAAACAAGTACAATTACAAATGGACCATCAGTTCCAGAAGGATCGTTCGATCGACCAGCGTACGACACGCAATCGCGACTTCGATCTTTCGCTTGAGATCATTATCGTAAATGTAGCATGTCGTGCTACCAGCCGTTCTCTTAGAATTAATTGTAATTCGCTCGCCAGTCACGCTGACGAGTAATCGCCAGGCAACCTATACTGTGTTTATGACGGTGTGCAATGACGCGTTGAACCATTCTCAGACAAACTAACACTGCTTCGTCTCCCCCTTTTCTTCATTCGTTTCTTTCTTTTCGCATACGTGTCTTATTTTACAGTAGAACTTAATTTATTGGAACGTAGTAGGTTCAATTAGCGGTGAATTAGGAATCGGTCAAAACTTGACGTTATTTGAACTTCACGGTCGTAAACTTTTACTACTTTGAACAAGAAATCGCGGATAGCTGGTAATTTCTATTATTATTATTATTATTATTATTTTTTTTTGTTTACTTTTTATCGTTTAAGTTGTATTAAGTACATGTCAACGGTTTGTCTCTCGAAAGGAGTTCGGATAAATGGAGTTCTACTGTATAATAGCTCGCTTTCTGTCCCTGTACCCGCCGTTGTCACATATCTCGCTAACTACAAGCTGACAACTCGGTCCCTTTGTTCGTGAAATTCCTTAAAAATCTAGAAAGGTGCTCGTGAAAACAAATAAAAAAAA